GCGAGCGGGGGCCAGGGAAAAGGGGGAGGCGCACCAGAGAGCGCTTCATGCGAATGGAATGCTCGCGGACATTGTTGATGGCGATGGCCAGGAGTTTCTGCTGGTTCTCCTTGGACAGGGGGGCGGCGGAGGGCCGGGCAGTGGAGGACATGACGGCGGCTCGGCTCGACGGGCTCTGGAAGAGGGACCAGCGCGCGTGTGGACGGGGGCAGGGTGAGGGGGGAGGGGAGGGGGGGGGGAAGAAGAGGCGGGGGGTAGGAAAGGGGGAGGAGGGAGGCCGGGAGCTGTCTGCTTCGAGTGTCTGGGCCAAGTTGGGGCCGATCTGCGGCCTCTTCACGAGGAGGCAGGCGCTTTTGCCTGCGCCTTGGGAACAAATGTGGAGGGTCATGGACCTTGGGCTCTGTCCCCCCCACCCACCCACCCACCCACCCCCCGGGGGGGTTCACCTGACGGAGGGACCCCTCCCCCGGGGTGTGGATAGGACCCGGCGCATATGTGCGTAAAAGTGTGCGCGTGTGGGCGTACGTCCCTGTCCCCCCCTGCCAGAGGTGAAGCTGTCCTGTGAGTCCGTAAATGGGCGGGGGGGGGGGAGTTGGGGGGGGGGGGGGGGCTGAGGCGTGCACACCAATGACCCTGGGGGACGGGACGCCGCGGACAAATAATAACACTGCGCGGGGTATGGGGCTGGCAGGTGCGGTCCTCCTGTGGCTCGACGGTACCCCTCCCCCAAAAGGGGGCGCGACCAGGCTGCATGCGCAGCAGGTTCACGCCCCCCCCCCCTTCCCCAAGTAACAACAAAGAAAAACACCACCACCAGGGGGACGGTCTCTTGCTCTGTGCCCAAACATTGGCTCGTGGGAGTGACAACGAGGCAGAGGGGGGGGACAGAGCGAGGGACGCGCCCGGGCCGAGTCTGGTCCCTGCCCTCTCTCCCTCCGGCTGCCCTGATGCCCTTCCCGGTCTGGACACACTCACGGCCAGTCCGCTGCCCAAGTGGGACCCGAGAGGGGGGGGGGGAGCCTGGTGCTATCATGGAGCCAGATGCAACTGCGCGGGGAGGGGGGGGGGAAGGAACATGAGCATGGAAAATCACCCCGGGGGGTAGGAGGGCCGGACGAAAGAACGAATTGAGGACAGGACAAGGGGGGGGGGGGAAGGCTGGACGCGGGCTACCTACCGAACAGCGCGGGAAGGGGGTCACGGGCGTTGCCGCGGGTCACGGGTTATCCTCTCTGAGGGGGTGAGATCGAGACAAACGGTGCCGGATACTTGAAGACCCTCTAAGTGTGCCCGGACTTGTGGCCTCCTTGCCCCAAATGGACGTTAGAACAACCAAAACAAGGCAACTTTAGTTGACAATTGTGTATCAAATCGCAAGCTGTCCGTTCCCGTTGCCAAGAGCCAACCCGCTGGGGCCCGCTATGTTCTGAGGACCCACTCCCATGGTCTCCTGAACACGAAGCCTCCGTACATGCCTCTCCATGTTCCTCTTTCTCTCTCCCTTCTTCACGCTTCCGCCTCTCTCTCTCGCCCCTCTATATATGCTTAAAACAACAACCCCATTAAATAATCGAAGTTCCAGCCTTTTTCTTGATCCGCTGCACCGAGCTGCCGCCGCAGCCCCGGCAATTGCCCACGCACGTGCCAGAACGTCATTACCTGGCCGTTACGGCGCGGCGGTGCGGCCGACGCCAAGATGAATTTGAGTGGCCACCGGCCGGGGACGGGGGGAGAGGGGGTGGTGCGTGGAACAGAAAGGAAGCTACCGGTCCATGCAATCTGCCGGTCCTGATGGTGCGAGGAGACGGCGAGCCGGGCAAGGCTGCTTCCTGGGATCTGTAACGGCCGTGCCTCTGTGCTTGCGTGTGTGCCCTCGCTGGCGAGCGTGCATCACCCCGTTCGCCCTGACGGGGTGGCCCCAGATCGGCGTGCCTATTACCTGCTGGACGATCATACCCGCACCCAGGGGGGGGAGGTGGGGTGGGGGGGGGACAGTCCCATGCGTGTACGTCTGTGCACACAGGCGCATATCTGTCGGGATGGCCGGGGTGCATTCAAACAAGAAGCGATCATAGCCTCGGAGGTTTGTCGCTGCCTGGCCGAGCGCGCGCGCGCGCCCCCCGACACGTGAACCGAAATGCATGAGCCAAGAGACGGGGTGCCATTGGGCCGGGGCCTCCCGCCGCGGGAACCACAATACGCCACGCTCCCCATCCTTCCCCTCCTCTCTCTCTCTCTCTCTCGATCCTCTTTCCTCCCTCCACACCCCCTCCTCCATCCTCCTCGCTAGTGCTCCACTGTTCGCGCCATGGACGTCCGTCTCCACCAGGCGCACCAGCCTGTCACCAAGGTCGCCGATGACCTCGGTGAGTCCACGCGTGTGTCCTTTGTCAAGTTCCTGGAAGAGTGCGTTTTCCTGTCCCCGCCCCCCTCGCTCCCCGGCCCCCCAAGAAGGCAGCCGCCTTTCCCATCTTGCTTCTTGCCAGGCACTGACCCGTGCAGCAACACCACCCGCACTCCTCGTCCCTCGGATTCCCACCCGCAGCCAGTGCCAAACATCCATTCAGGAGATGATCGACCGGAATCAGTGCACCCTGCCGGTGGACTATCGCGATGTGGAAAAGTTTAGCTCTGTCCTGGCGGACGTCCTGCGCGACCACTTCCTGCGCGTGGAGCCGTACTTGCGTCTGGCCTTGTTGGACATGGTCCGGCAAATTCGCCCCGACGCGGCCAAGTCTCTCCAGGGGCAATACCGCGAGTTCTGGATCAGTCTCTACGGCTATCAGGACATTTGCCGGTGCGCCATTGCTTGCTTGCCCACGCCCATATGCATATGTTTGTTTCGCTGGTTGGCTGGTTGCCTGTGTGTGTGTGTGTGTGTGTGTCTGTGTGTATGTGTGCCGGCCTGTGTTCGCACACATGTATTCACCCGCACCCGCGCACTTGCGGCTGCCCATCACCCGATGACTGACCCGCCCCCATCGACCTTGCCATAGCATCCGCGAGTTGCGAACCCATTCGATTGGCCGGTTGTCGACCATCTGCGCCACGGTCACTCGGCTGACCGAAGTTCGGCCGGAGCTGCTCCTTGGTACCTTCCGTTGCGGACTCTGTCAGACCGTTGTCCGGTCGGTCGAGCAGCAGTTCAAGTACACCGAGCCGGCCATGTGCCCGAACAACCAGTGCAACAACAAAGCCAAGTGGGAGCTCGATGTTGAGCAGAGCACCTTCTGCGACTGGCAGAAGGTCCGTGTGCAGGAGAATTCCGACGAAATCCCCCCGGGGAGTATGCCTCGCACGTACGTCCCATGCACACGCACGCACTGCTTTCCTCTGCCCCTCCTCACAGCGCTTTCCCTCCTGTCTCCCCTGCGTCGCCTTAGCATGGAGATCATCCTGCGAAATGAGACCTGCGATCGTGTGAAGCCCGGCGATAAGGCCGTCTTTTCCGGCTGCCTGATTGTTGTGCCGGATGTCGCGCAGCTGTCCTCCGGCCCCGGGGTCAAGGGCCAGACGCAGACCCGTTCCAGCAATGCCCGGTCGCGCGATGCCTCCGGCGAGGGCACCTCCGGGTTGAAGGCCCTCGGTGTGCGTGAGCTTACATATCGTCTGGCCTTCCTGGCCTCCAGTGCCGATAACGCCGATAGCAATGTACGTCCATGGACCCGTGTCTGCTTGCCCATGCGGCGATCCCGTGTCTCCCCTGTGTCGCCCTTTGTCCGGGCAATCCCTCCCCCCCCCCCTGACAACCAAGCCATGTGCAGATCAAACTCCGCTTCCATGACAGCGAGATGGATGTCCGCGCCATTGTCGAGTCCTTTACGCTGGAGGAGCGCCAGGAGATTTGGGCCATGAAAAACAGCCCCAATCTCTATTCGCGCCTGATCAACTCCATCTGTCCGTCGGTGTATGGCAGCCACGAAATTAAGAAGGGCATCCTGCTGATGCTTTTCGGCGGTGTTCATAAGTCCTCGCATGAGGGCGTTCGCCTTCGTGGTGACATCAATGTCTGCATTGTCGGCGACCCCTCCACCGCAAAGAGTCAGTTCCTGAAGTGCGTTGGTCCAACCACCTCCCTCCCTGTCCTTCGCTCGCTGAAAGTCCATGCCCTGCTGACTCTTTCTTTCTCTTCATCACCCACCTCCCCTCCCCCCCCCTCGGGAAAAAAAAACACCCAGGTATGTGGCCTCCTTTGTGCCGCGCGCAGTGTATACCTCGGGCAAGGCCTCCAGTGCAGCCGGTTTGACCGCCTCGGTGGTCCGTGACGAGGAGACCGGCGAGTTCACCATCGAGGCTGGCGCCATGATGTTGGCCGACAATGTGCGTTGCCCGTCCTCACTTTCGAGTTGTCTGTGACCCAGCGAGGGGAGGCGAGCCAGGGTGGGGGCCAATCCACCCGCGCGACGTCCATCCGCGCGCGCGCGCACGCGCACACCCACACAAACATGTTGACTCACATCCCCACACATTCGCACACACGCCACGTCTTCCTTTGCCCCCCCCCCCCCCCCCCCCAGGGCATTTGCTGCATCGACGAGTTCGACAAGATGGATCTCCACGACCAGGTGGCCATTCACGAGGCCATGGAGCAGCAAACCATTTCCATCGCCAAGGCCGGCATTTCGGCCACCCTTAACGCCCGGACATCGGTCCTGGCCGCAGCGAACCCGATCCACGGTCGCTACGAGAAGCGCCGCTCGCTTAAGGTACGCACATCCGCGCGTGCGCGTGTCCATTCTCCATTCTATCAACCTCCTCCCTCCCTGTCTCCCTCCTGTCGGCCCCCTCCTTCCACACGCACATACACACACGCATGCATCACTTGCTCCCCTTGATCGGCCTTAGCAGCTTCTGGCATTTCATCCCTAACCCGCTTTCCGTCATCCTCAAACCATGGACAATCGCACACACACACACGCACACACACACACACACACACACACACACACACAGTACAACGTCAACATGTCTCCGGCCATTATGTCCCGCTTTGACCTCTTCTTCGTCTTGGTGGATGAGATCGACGCCACTTCCGACCAGAATATCGCCCAACACCTGATCCAGGTCCACCAGAACAAGAGCGTCACCCTGGCGCCGCCCTTTTCGACGGCTGAGCTTCAGCGGTACTTGCGCTTTGCTCGCGCTCTGCGTCCCAAGGTCCGCGCTGAATTCCACCGCTTTACCCACCTCCCTCCCCATGCGTCCCATCAGGCAAAACCCCATTACCGATTTGGCTCGCTGGCTGACTCCCGCCACCCGTCGCCCATCCCCCATGGGCTGGTCCTCTTCCTTCCTGCTTTTGCCGGGCGGGGAAAAAACAGCTCACCCCCGAAAGCAAGGTCCTCCTGGCGGAGTACTATCGCAAGCTCCGGCAGACGGATGTCAACAATGTGGCCGGCAAGACTAGCTTCCGGATCACGGTTCGCCAATTGGAGAGTATGATCCGCCTGTCGGAGGCCCTGGCCCGACTGCACTGCGAGGCCCACATCCATCCGCAATATGTGGACGAGGCGTATCGTCTGCTGCGCATGTCTCTGATGCACGTGCAGACCGATGACATTTCTCTCGGCGATCTGGACGCCATCGAGGGGCTGGATGACTTGATGATCCCCGAGGGCGAGGAGGAGGAGGCGGCGGCGGTCGATGCGGCTTCTGCCGCGGCTGGGGTCCCCAGCTCCAGCGCCCTGGGCCCGGCAACACCGCATGCCCCCTCCTCGGATGTGCCCTCCTCGTCGTCGGGGCTTACGCCGGCTCCGTCATCGGCACCGCCATCGTCGGTTGACGCGGCGGCCAGCCGACCGGCTGCCGCCGCGTCCGGCCGCAAGATCACCGTCGAGCGGTACAAGTCGATTGCCCACCTGGTGGTGTACTATCTCCGGCGGTTGGAAGACCAGGAGGCCGGGAACGCGGCCTCTGGAGCTCGGATCGACGACATCGTGGCCTGGTACCTGACGGACTTCATCGATCGCGAGCCGAATGCCGCCGAGGAGGACGTTCGCGCCGAGGAGACCATCGTACGGCTGGTCATTCGGTCGCTCATCGTTCGCGACCGCGTTCTCCTGGTCCTCAAGGAGATGGACAGCCTGCCGGAGGCGAGCGACATGGGCGGAGTCGCCGGGGGCGACCCGCTGGCCGCGCTGGCCAGCGCTGGGGCCAACCCGGTGGTCGTGGTTCACCCGAACTTCGTGGCCGACGACGCGTGAGTCTGACTATGCCCGTGCTCATAGGTAGCTCGGCCCATCCCTGTCCTTGTTTGGGAGGCAAGAAGGAGCAAGCAAGCGAGCGATCGGGCGGGGCAGGTGCGGAGAGGAGGGCGGGCCCCCGCCATGGCCCCTTGCCGCATGGATATCTGGACGCACGCATGATGTCATCTGTGCGCATTTTCAGCGGCACACATGCACATCTGCCTTCGCCTCTCCTCCCTCTTCCCCTCTCTCTCCCTCCCGCCCTTTCTCTCCTTCTCCTCCTTTCCCCTCTTCCCGTGCCTCCGTCCTTGTCACTCTTCCTCGTCTTTCCTCTCCCCTGGCACAATCCGCTGCCCTCTTGCGCGGCGACCAGCACACCTGTGCCTGCGCACGCGCGAATCGATGAGATACAAAATACAATCCCCTCACACATTTCGCCCCCGCGCCTCGATCACTCCTTCCACGCGTGTTTTCTCCAGATCGCCTCTCTCTTCATAGGCGCTTTTGCACATGATAGCGCATCAAGTTTATGGTACATTTGGTAAGGGTCCGCCCGGTGTTGGGCATCTACTGTGGAGGGGGATGTGCACGACTACTCCCTCCTTGCTCTCACGCAGGGGGCACAACACAACGCAGTGGGGGGGAGGATGCCTGGAAGGCTAATGGTGGCCCAGAAATGGCTGCCTTCTAGTGCCCCCCATGGCCGTGGCCGCCCACGGTTTGCATAAGGACCGGCGAGAAAAGCCCAACGGCGAAGTAAAACAATTGTGCCTGGGCACAGGGGGAGGGAGAGAAAGAGAGAGAGAGAGAGAGAGAGAGAGAGAGAAAGGTACAGGTGAGAAAGGGAGGGGTAGTGGGGGCATGAGGCCAGGGCCGGGAGAAGGCAATTGGCGCATCGGTACTCGAAGCGACTGAAAACGTACAAGGTTTAGACGACCATGCGAAAGTGGTTGCTCTTCCTGGGGGCCCCCGGCACGGTCGGAGCCCTCGACAAGCATTGCTTTCCCCGATGCCCTGGCCGCCTCGGCCCCCAGCAATGCAACCGCCGCCTGGTGGGGGTCATTCGCGGCGCCGGTGGCCGTCAGGGCCGGCAGCACGTGCGTGGCTGCCACATAGATGAATGTCCTGCGAACAAGCGACAGCAAGCCCGAGTCAATAAAGATATCACATAGGCGGGGGAGCCTCGCCACGCGCATGAGGGATTCTCCACAAAAAGGACGAGTGCACGTACCCCGCGCTGAAGGTCAAAATGTTGCCAGTCCACCAGCCATTGAGGCCGGCCTCGGCTCCTGGCTGACCACCTCCACCCGTGGTGAGACTGCGGCCGATCAGGAACACCAGCCGAATGACCAGAAAAGTCATCAGGGTGGAGAGGGGCACGGCCGCCGAGAAGATCAACAGCCGCAGGCGAGTCACGGTACGTGAGGCACCGCCCCGCAGGAAGACCGATGTCATGGCAAAGGACGACGGGGCCTTGTGAATCATGAGCGCCAGGAATACCAACATCGGAAGGGCCGCAGAGGATCCCTGCCCCAGGGAAAAGGCCTCCGACAGGGACTTCGAGCTCGCGGCCAGGGTCGATCCCAGGGCCAGGCCATCAGCCATGGAGTGGATCAAAATCCCGAGGAAGGCCGAGCTCTTGAAGACACTGGCGCCGCTGGCCCCGCCGCTGCTGTTGAACACCCGCCCGGAGGAGGGCGGCGTCGGCGAGAGAAGAGTGTCCAGACTAGCAAGACTGGTCCCGGGCCGGGTCCCGGACTGGGTGGCTGCCAACATGCCTGGCGGCAAGGCCCCGGGCGGGCTATGCAAGTCGCTCACGCCCTCGTCGACCGTGTGGCGCCGAGTCCACGGGGTGACATCAGCCGCGGTGGCATCAGAGCCCGGCACGGCTGGCTGGGTGTGTGCCCGGAGGACGGCTGGTGGCTGCCAGGAAATCGGGTCGGAAGCGACCGGAAGACCAGTCGCATGTTGATCGGAGGAAGAGAATCCCTGATCGTGGGTGTGGCTGTGGCCGTGGCCGTGGCCGTGGCCGTGGCCGTGGCCGTGGCCGTGGCCGTGGCCGTGGCCGTGGCCGTGGCTATGGCCGTGGCCATCTGCCGAGGGGCTGAATTGCTCCACGAGAATCATCACGAAGAAGCCCAGTGCCAGGGCCAGGCCAAGGGCCAAGCTCGGGGAAGAAGACACAGAGGTGACGGCCTCGCCGGCATGGTGATGCTGCTGGCTCGAGTGGTACAGCACATCGGCCCCCTCGGGCAGGATGATGATGAGCGCCGTGCCGAGAAGGATCCCAGCGCTCAGGGCATTCAGGTGATCCAAAACCACCGGGCTCAAGGGCATTACCAGTGGCAAGGCCCCACACAAGTAGGTGGAGATGAACATCAGCGTGCAAATGATCAACAGAACAAGCCAATCCGAGGGCGAGGCGAGGAAGAGGACCCGGCCACCGGCAGCCGTAGCTGTCCCCGTGGCCGTGGCCATGGCCGTGGCCGCCTCGAGGGCAGTATTCAACCCCGGCACAAGCGCCCCACTCGGCGACTCGGGAGCCGAAGCGTGGTGGGCTGCTGTGGCGACCGCGACGTTGCCATGCGCAATTGCCGCGTCAATGATGAGGCTCAACGTCAGAAGGGCGAGCCATTGAGTACGACCCAGGCAATGCACTGCCCGGCCGAACATATTGATCGGGGGCCAAATAAGAGGGAAAGAACTCCCGGGCACAGGACACCGGGTGCACGCGTGTGGTCACAATGAAAGAGGCCCTGGTATGGAGACGTGGGCCAGCGAGAGGCTGCTCAGAGCGTGGAATGGGACACGCAGAGCGGGCGGGACAGTGGCGGCGGCAGCGGCGGCGGCGGCAGCGGCGGCGGCAGCGGCAGCGGCGACGACGGTTGGAGCAGCAATCAAGCACACAGCTAGGAAGTGGCTCATAGTCTGGTGGGAAGGCAAAGGCAAGGACGGGGGGGGAGGAGGGCAATGAGTGCCCGATGTACGGTGGTGCATCGGAGGCTGGGTGCGACGTCTCTTTAGATCCCAGCGAGGCGCTCTCGTTCCCTGGGGGATCTCCCTTCGGTGGATGGTGTGACCGGCAGGATTGCAGCTCTCTGCTCCCCCCCCCCCCCCCCCCCCCCAGCAGCGGAGGTTATTTCGGCGGCAAGTTATGTGCCCCCGCTGGGAGACGAAAAGGCGAGCAGAGCGGATCAGCCACCGAGGGCAGGTCCGGTCTCGCCCCCGCCCTCGTTCTCCCCTCCCCCAGCACTCGCCGAAAGCCAGCAGATCGGTCCAGGGGCTGGAGGCATTGGCCCGCGGCGTAGGATCTCTCGCTCCTCGGCCAGCGGTTTCAGGGCGCGGAAAGGTGTGCACAAAGTTCCGAAAGACCGATCAGACGGCAGGGCGGAGGAGAGACAACTGGCCTGCAGTCTCTGTCAGCGGGTGTTACACGGAGACGCATCCGTGATAATGCAAACATACCAGCCGGCACAGGAATAATGATGAAATAAAAAAACAAAATACATAAGCCACAACAGATGCCCACCGAAGAGACCGACGACTCAATGTGCCTGTTCAACGGCCCCTCGCTTGGCCACCGGAGTCGGCCCTGGCCGGCAGACTGAAGGGGGGCGGGGAGGGTCGTGGCTAACATCGCCGCGGGGTAGTCGAGGGGGGTGACTCAGCCAATGGTGTATGCCCACCAGAACTGACGCCAATGGAATGACTGGTACATGCTGAAGAAGCGGAATAGCGGCACCGGACCCAATCCTTGTCATGATCACGGGAGACGGAGGCGTGTTCTGGCCGTTTTGGAGCCGGTCCCCCGCAGGTCGACCGCGAACGACGCACATGCGCTTGGACGCGTGTGAGCGTGTCCCCCGCCCCGTCCAGCGTCAGGCCGTCGGCTCGTACGTCTCAGGGTGCCCGGCTTTGGGAAAGAACAACCACGCCTGTAGGGTCCCTCTCTCTCCAGGGAGTCGGTCCCGCCACAATTGGACGAGCGCCGCTCTGCCCCCTTCTCCAACAGGGCGG